TTTCCTTTATTTTTCTAATACTCTTTGGTTATGTGCACATGAGCTCAAAGGAGAGGGCAAAAAGTAGAAATCTCACTCAGTCCGGGTATCTCAGAAGTGAGTTGTTTCCTCCGTCCTAGGCAAAGTCAAAGTGGCTCTCTCACTTTGTTCCAAGGTACCACAGACTGCTGACAGCAGTGGCCCCAGGCACAGGCAGAGTTGGCATTTGGTGCTGAGAAACCTTGGGCAGGCCCCTGGTGGTGGCACCTCCACTCGAGGAGAGCTCCTTTGAGACTCAAGCTCGTTACCAACCATCCCAAGAATACTGGCTCAAAGCAAATATGCTGTCGAGTTAGCTGGGAAGCAGGACACCAGGAAGTGCTGTCCTCTGTCACCAGAGGGTGTAGGAGGAAGGTGTGTGTCCAGCCATGGGGACACCAGAGTGGTGGGACATCCCCTGGCACCTAGAAGTGACCTTGTGCAGTAGGAGAAACCTAAATTGTGGAACCCAATAGCCCTGATTTTCAATCCTGGTTTTGCTCCTAATGCATAGGGTGGGACTAACATTTTTGAAATGTTATTATTTTTCTTCACCTTTCTAAGTATGGAATCTGTTTCATCCCAGCCTACCGTCAGCTATGGGAAGATCAGGACTTCTGAATGTAGATAGCATTAGAGCGAAGGCCATTCAGTATTCAGCTTCTGACACTGCAGCTAGTGTTTCCAATCAGAGAGTAGCTACTGTCTTGGGATTTCCTAAATTCTTTGATCTCTCTCCCTCTGTCTCACCCCTTGAGTGTCCCTGCCTAGAAGGCTCGGTGCTCAGAGAACATAGCACGCTGCCGGTGTGCCCAGCCGGGAGGGTTGGGCTCTGGAGTTGATGGGTGGCCTGTCCTAGGAAGGCCACCCCTTTCTTCACTCGTGGGACTTGGAGACAGAGGAGAGGAGAGGGGCCCAGGAACCTCAGGTCCTGCCTTGCTTGGGTATCTTTCCAGTGCTTGGAGAGGGCAACTCCCTCTTCTTGATGGAAGGCATTGATGCTCCTGGGGCCTCCCTGCCCATGGATTGCAGAACCCCCACTTCCCCAGTGCATGAAGTCACGGCAGCCTTGTCCCCATGCCACCCCAGTGATGAAGTGGCAAGAGCAGGGAGAGGCAGGTTGTTCAGAAACTGAGCACTTTTGTACAACGAGACGGAGAGTGCCTCCGAGGAACTGTTTAGATTATGACATCAGACTGGGTTATAATCCAGAACCCACTGAATTAAAGCAGTTGTTTCCCCACCACACAGGGCATAGGGGCCTGTGAGGACCACAGCAGTTGGAGACTGAATAGGGCACATTTTCACTGTGTATCCTGGAGTAGTTTGGTGTTTGAGGGCCCAGCTGAGTATGTGCTTGCACGAGAGGGTGTGCCCTGGGTAATCGCGACTTGATTTTTCTACTTGCTAAAGGAGGCGGTCAGAACTCCCATCTCAACAGCTACATGCTGTACCAAAGGGGTGTGTGCGTACACATGCCTGGGTCACCTCTGAAATTCAGCAAGTGCTGGGGAATGGGACTGGCGGGAGCCATGACAGGCACAGGGCAGGGGTGGGAGCTCAGCTTGTGATGGGGACTTCCCTCTTGGTAGGACAATGGAATAGACGCCCATCCTGCTACAGAGTGGTCAGAGGTGAACTTCGGTTCCTACAGAGAAGCCATGGAGAGACCCACACCCCTTTGACATCTGCCCCTCTCTGTGTGGGCTTTGAGGCCCTGGGTTCCTTGTGGCCTTGTGCTCTTGGTACTGCACCCAGCTGCCAGCCAACCAGGGCACCGTGCCTGCTGGCAAGATTTTATTGGAGGCTGGCTTAGCATCTTGGCTCCCTGGTCCCAAGCAACCTCCATACCCTGGTAAGACTATATTATTTTCTTAGCTCAAATTGCCGTTTCCAAGTCATTATTTCTCTACGACGAGAAAACAATATTAGGTCTTATGTAATATCAACCTCAATGAATCTGGAAGTGATCATGGAATGGGTGGATTTTTTTTCCTCCTTAAAAAAAAAAGAGAAAAATAAATTTGAGATTGTTTGCATATGGCCGAGAATATTTATGAACTATTCCCCCTGTTTCCTCATCGCATATTTTACCCAGTGCGTTTGTGTGTGGTACAGAATAAATCTTGATGGGGTGCAGACATGGAGGAGGGGAGAAAGCGACTAAGGGACTGAGGATCTATCAAGCCCTGGGATGGAGGGACCCTGGGCCCTGGGGTGCTCACCCAGCTTCCCTGCAGTGGTCCACGTCTGTGTGGGGATATCTTTTGGAGAGAGAGAGCTTCAAAGACAAACATGGAAGGAATTAGCATCTTTTGGCCACTCTCATTTCTTTTACATCTGTCTCACTCTTACCAGAGCAGAAAGTTCAACATGAAGTTTCCTGGCTGGGGGGCCAGCAGCCAAAGATATCATTCATCTAGGCTCCCAGCTTGAGCTCAGGGCGGAGGCATGAGTTGGGGGGCTGGTAGAGAAAGTGTGGGTGTTGCCCTATGCCATTGGATGGCAGTGTCTTAGCCATGTTTTGCCACATGAGCATGGTACGCCTGTCCACATGGCTTTTCACTGAGGAGAAGCCCAGGCGAGTGTATAAGGGACGGGGTGATAGGTATACATCGAACAAGCAAAGGAAGTGATGTTTCAGGCTGTGCCTTTTCCTCCTCAGAGTTGGCACAATTCCCTGCCACCCCTTGGAAGTTTCCGAGACACGTTGACCAAGAGTTGGGTGACTGTCAGAAAGCAGGGTGACGGCACATTGAGGAATGCAGGAGCAATGACACCATCACTGTCACCCATCTCCCAGGAGAGGGGGGACACGCCTACATCAGTCACTCACCCTGTGTCATCAGAGCTAATCCTTATGGTGATTGAATGAGGGTTTAGAGATCTTAATTTTCTTATCGAAGTAAGAGAAGGTATGCTCAGTGAGTTGAGGAAAACTTACCAAGGTCACCCTAGGTATATGGATTGGCAGGACTGGTAAGGTCTGAAGCCCACACAGTAAGAACAAATAAATCCAAGGCCTTGGAAGAGCCCCATGCAATGAAAGGGCACTCACACTGACATCTGACCCGAGTGAGGTCACAATCTAAGCCCAGGCAAACCTTAGGCCCAAGCCCTTTCTCGCTGCTTTGGAATCTCTCCTGTCTGCTGCAGCCACTACCAACCCCAACGTTCATGTTCCAGACAAAATTACACTCATGTAAGGAGGGCCCCAGCACACAAAGGACATCCTCAGGACACCAACATGGAACATGGCGGCATGCGACCCAGGGCAACAACCACATTCAGATGAGGGGCCTTCCACCTCCAGGACCCACTACACAGGGCAGTAAAATGTGTCTCAGCATGAGCCACAGCTCCAGTTGTGGTTTTAGGCTCTGTCAGGTTTCACAGCCACTCCCAGCCCAGTGACCCGGGCAGAGACGAGGGCTGCAGCTGCCCAGGTGGCCCAGGGGCATCTGGAATAGAACTCACAATGTCTCCTTCTCCTTCTCCCTAGGATGGGGTCAGTTGGCCAAATTTGACTAGCACTCCATTTAATCTTTCTTTCTCCTATTATAATCAAGATTTTGCCATTGTCTTTGTAGCACAATGCGTATTGTCTAGGCTGGTACCCACCCTCGCCCAGACCGCCTGCTGATCCCATCACAGTCTAGACGATCTCTAAGGGCACGCAGCATTTTCCCAGGCTGCTCGCTCTGTTCTCCCAAACTGGCAACACAAAGCAGATGAGGCTGCGCAGTCAGTGCCACCCCAGGGAGAAGGAAGCATTGAGAAACTATGTCCCGCCTCCAGCCGTCTCGAGACATTCCAGTAAGGGTTCAGTGGATTTATCTTGGGCTGGTGTTGTCCCATTGTCTTCAACAAAAGGCGTCCACAGAAAGACAGATGTGGTTGTGAGAAGTGGCTGCAAAAGCACATCTGGGGAGATGTGAGCCAGAGTGCGGTCCTCTGCTGGTTTCTCCTCCTGAGAGTGACACGCTCTAGCCTCTGCTGGCCTGAGCCCCAGGGCTGATCCCTGAGCTCAACCAGAGCCTGGGGACACAGTTCTCAGGGGCAGGGCTGGTACAGTGGTGCAGCAGCTTGGGACCCAGCTTTCCTCTGTGCTAAGGTGGGAAGGTTCTAGGTCAGAGTTTAGTATTGGAATGGACCCTATGGTTCCTGGTGTAAAGATTCAGGATGGTAGTGACGTCCCACTCTTTTCTTTAGGAACTTTGTTCAGCTCCTGCTTCTAAATGAATTGTTCCATAGATAATGATTGGGATGAGACTATGACAGTCTCCTGTCACACTGTCTTCCTGTGGGCGTTCACTTTTTCGGGCTCCATCTCTGAGCAGCTGGCAATGCGCATTTATGATGACACTACTGCCTGCTGCACTGGCCTTGTCAATGGGGACAGTCTGGGTTTTAGCAGTGAGCTCTCGAGTAAGCTCCGGGCTGCCTCTCAGGTGCTTTGGGCTTTTCTGTGGCTGGCACCCAGCAGGGCTGCCCCGTTCCTACTAGTGGCGTCCCCTGCCCCTCTGGGGTTGGCTTAGTCACAATGAACACTTACCCAGGATCTGGTCCTAGCTCTCTGTTCCAGGACATCTAGACATTTCTATTGTTTAATCACCTTCTTTTTTTCTACACAGTTAACATATGGGCTTATTGTAGAATATGTACAAAATGTAGGTAAGCAAACTAATGTAAAAGTTGAGGAGCATTACTGCACCTGCTTGAGACAAACATGATAAACATGTGGTAGGAATCCCAAGGGCTGTGTTTTTGTACTTTGTACCAGGATTAGCGTGTGTTGATTGCATTCTCCAGCATGGGACACCTCATGTGGCCCCAGGTGGATGGTTCCCAGGTATTCTGGATGGGTGGTGAGCTGTCAGAGGGGAGGACAGGATGCTGCATGAGCTGTCCTACTTCAGGGTCCCTGTGTCTCTATCCAGGGATGACAGAGCGGACTAAATTCCCTTCCTTTGCTCTTCCAGCCCTGGAGCGGGGCCTGACTAAGGCCCTGAGGAAGCTGGATGACTACCTGAGCACTCCGCTGCCTGAGGAGATCGACACCAACACATGCGGGGGTGATAACAAGGGGTCCCGGCGCAAGTTCCTGGACGGGGATGAGCTGACCCTGGCAGACTGCAACCTGCTGCCCAAGCTCCATGTGGTCAAGGTAAAAGAGCTCAGGCCACAGGGGCTGCTGGAGGCCACCTGTGTGGCTGAGTCAGGGTGGTACTCATGTGTGGTCCAAAGGTGGGAGCCACTGCTCATTGGTTGTTGGTCTCTCGGAACTTGTCTGTGTGTATGAAATGTGTGGATATTACTCACTTTAAAATTGCACAGGTAAAATGTGGTGTGGAAATGCCTGCATACTGTATGGGTTCCACATACAGTATGTGGACCTAGTCGGAGCACCCCAAAAACCCCTTCCTGGAGCTGCCTCTCCACAGCCCCCATCTCCATTGATGCAGCCCTGTGTCCCCATCTGCGTCCTTGGTGCACAGACCCTGCATCAGCTCCCTGGGCAGGTGCCATCCTCTTCTTCAGGATCAGCTACACACCTGGAGGCTGCAGGGGCAGGGGGTGGATTCCTCCCTGACTGTTGGTGATACGACATATCCTACACAGCTCTCTGAGAGTCAGAAAGAAGGAAATTTGAAAATAACCTCCATACCAAACTGGTCAGCTTTCTGCTGTGCCCGGGATAGGCTTCTGTGCCGGGTGGTGGCACATTTCTTGGTGATAGGGAACTCCGTGCAGAATGAACCAGCGTTATCCCTCAGCACAGCTCAGATTATTACAATGCCCTTCCATGTGGAGTCCTATGGGTATCTCCTGCTGCCCCTCCATCCTCAGAAGCAACGCAGGATACTTTCACCCTCCTTTGCCTCTCTGAAGACAACAGTCGTGGCCAAAGCCGCCAAAGGAGCATGACTGCCACACCCCTACCTGATGAGATCCAGTTTCCTCCTACCCTTCACCGAGAAGAACCAGACCCCACCATCCGAGGGTGGGGATTGTGCCTATCATTCCCCAGCCACCATCTTGAGCTGCACATGCAGATTCTCCTCCGCCCAGAACCCACCCAAGCTTGGCTGAAATCACACAGCTGGGTATGCACTGGTGTTGCTGGCGTTGGTCAGAAACAGGAGCTCATGGTTGAACAAACATGGTCATTAATGGGAAGATTCTTAGGGCTCACAGCCAAGCCAATGGTCACTTGTAGGAGTAGCCAAGTGAGGTCACTTTGAGGTTGTTAACTAGTGTGAGGCCCCCTCCCCAGAGTGTGCTTTTTTCTCCCTTTTCTGAGAGATATATCAGGCCCTACCTTTTCTGGATCTCTGATAGGTATTAACCACTGCTTAAGAATCATCTGTTGAATCAGATGGACAAACCATTCTCCCACTCCAGTACACCAGCCTGTGATTCGTCCAGTTCCTTCCAGCCACAAATGGCCAAGTGAATCCCTGTCCTTGGAGGACTTCAGTAGACTTCTCCTTGGAGCCTTGGGATCAGATGAGGATTCAGGAGGGAGGGCGTTGGGTCTCCCTCCTGTCACCTTGCATTTTTGCTGATCCCGCTTATCAGATCCAGGACCTGGCAAACCTCTCCGTGCACAAGAGCAGAGGGGGAGCTGAGCAGCCTCCAGTTTGGCCTCAGATGCCAAAACTTAATCTGGGCTGTGGGAGCTAACTGTTTTCATATGAAAGAACAAATTCAGAACATGAGCACTGACGTCCCTGCACGTCATAGCTGCATATGCATACCCTTACATGATTGCCTTTCAGGTCCAGCCCTGGCTGAGGACCCACGTGGCCCTGGCCCAGGGCATAGCAGGTATCTAACATGGAAAGGAGTTGTCTGCTGGCCTGTCCTATCCCAGCACAGTGACCATGTCCCCCTGAAACAAACAGGAAGAGAGACCCAAATACAAACTCAAATGGATGGATTCATCACATTTTTTCACTTTTCAAGCTATAAGTCTGTCCTTCAAGAATTTAGGTACTTGGCCAGCATACACAAGACCCTGCATACACGAGGTTTGATCCCCTCACTGGAAAAACAAAAAGCCCTGAAAATAAAATCTCTGCACAGACACATTTGAGGCTGTGCTGTTGGCCCACAAAGAATGTCTTTTGCTTGACTGTTCATTTTCTGTGGGCTGTTCCATATCTGGCCCAGCACTTCTCACCCGAGGACCACAGCTTCCCCATGGGTTTGCCCTAGAGGGAAGGCAGCTACCTCTTAAAGTCATGGGCAAACAGGGGGAGCCACTTCTCACAGTGACTACAGGGAGGCTGTGGGGACTGGCATGGGTGTGACTTCCATTCCCTCCCATCCCAGGTGGCCAGCACTTGTTGATGCTGTCACTTTTGATCACTGGCCTCCCCTCCACTGGACAGACATTGCGGGTGCTTCCTTGATGGCCACCCACATCATTCATTTTAACTGAGGGAATGTCTCATAGAGAGGTTCTATGTAGAAAATAACAGGAAGGCCAAGGGTTTGCCTCCAAGGCATTTACTACCCGTCGTAATAGAACTATAGCTGTAAATGTGCTATATGGTGGGTTCAGTACAACAGTCTATCTTGAGTTTTCTAGACTACTCGATCTTCCCGGGCAGCATCATTTTCAACAGCTCTATGGGTGCCATTGCACTTACATATAGTCACGCATTTATCTCCCCACTCACATATCACTGCCCCTTAGCATTATGCACTGTTCTGTGCTATTTAGGATGCTGTCATCCTAGCAGTGTAGCTACACCTTTGTCCACATCCATGATTATTTCCTAAGGAAAAATCACTTGATATGGAACCACTAGGTGGAAGGACAAATGATATTTATGCAAGAAATAGGTAAAACATGGAGGCAGCCCTGTCCCCCACCCTGCAAGCATTTTGGGGATGGTCCATGGCACTGCACATGGGTCTTCCTGCTGTGCCCACACCCTGGGCCACCCCTTGGACACCTCCTGAGGATGGCCTTCTTCCTTTACCTGTTTCTATCCTGTCTCTCTGTTTAGATCGTGGCCAAGAAATACCGCAACTATGACTTTCCTGCTGAGATGACAGGCCTGTGGCGATACCTCAAGAATGCCTACGCCCGGGACGAGTTCACCAATACCTGCGCAGCTGACTGTGAGATTGAGCTGGCCTACGCTGACGTCGCCAAGCGCCTCAGCAGGCCCTGAGCACAGCCACCACCCACCTGCTGCAGAGGACTCCGCTTCTTCCACAAGACTCTGGCTTCACAGGCTTCACAGACTCTGCTTCCTCACTGACTGGGGAACCTTTTTGTCAGGCCACTCTTGCTGGTTCCCCAGAACTGCAGCCTGCTAGCTTTGAAGGTCAGTGCATCCTCTGTCTGGACATGTGTGAAGCTGGCAAGCAGGGGGAGAGAAACAGACGCCTCTGTACCTGCCAGCAGAGTCTGGGTTAGTGGATTTGGGGTCAGTCTGGGGAGCCACCTACGTGTGGTTTCAGTCTTTTCTGCCAGTGTCCTAATGTCTCTCAGATGCTTTAGCAAATGTGAGACCAGCTTCTCCATGTCGAACCTGCAAGGCCAAGGACCCACACTGCTCTAGTTAGAATGAGTCTTCACCTTGCTAGGGGACACACAGGGGCTGGGAGGACCGAGCTGGTGTGGCTCTGGGCATCTGGCAGACATACTCGCTGTCAGTTGCTCACTCCAGCAGACGCTCCAAGACCAGACTGCAAACTCCCTCCAGACACACTGGCAATTCTCAACCTTGGCTGACCTTGGCTTTCGCCTGTCTAGGCATGGCCAGGAAGGAAGCTGGTGTGCAATTCCAACCTGGGGTGACTGGGATGGGGAGGGTGGGGGAGCACTGTTGGTGCCAAAAGGCCCCAGGGGTCTACAGCCATGGGTTTGCATGCTTAGGAGAGGTTGCATGGTGAGATTGCTCACCCGGTCTGTGAGGAAATGGTAGGGTACAGGAGGGGGGATGGGTGAAGACCAAAAGGCTCTGAGGCTCGGTGCCCCCTGGTCAATGTCAGACTGACTCCTCTCTCACAATATAAGCCTTGGACTGCTGATGTCATTAAATACCAACTGCATAGCGAACACCCTAGGTCTGGCCAAAATGTCTTTCTGGTCTCTCTGAGCTGCACCTGGCCACGAATCTGCTGGCTGGGGCTCCCTGGGGTTTCTTGGTGGCCCGGAACAGGTGGAAGCACATGGAGGAGTTGGAATAATGGTGGGATGTCTCCCGATCCGGAAACCATGTGTTTTAAACTGGAAAAAGAAAACAGGTACCCATCTGGGTTAACTTTCCAACTGCTAGATGCAAAAGGGCAATAACGTTCCTGCTGATTGTCCCCCTGAGTCCTTTCCCCTGCCTGTTACCTCCTGGCATACACTGGACACCTGCAGGGAGGACATGGAGAGAAATAGACTAAACCTCTGCTCCTCTTCGGGAACTTCACAATGAAACATACCCCCGTGGCCATACATGCAGCAACTCTCCCCTCTGTACTCCAGGAGGAGGCCACGGATCCTCCTGCCCTAAGGGAAAGCCCACTGCTGGGGAGAACAGCATGACCAGTTCCTTAACACAGAAACACCAGTGAATCCTAACCCACACACTCATCCAACCCCCCAACTGTGGGATCTCCCAAGATGCAACCAAGGGCAGGAAGTGAGGGCTCTCTTCCTGCTCACCTATGAGGAAGAGGATGCAGTCAGCAGGACATCACATGAGTCCATTCCTGTTCCCCACCAAAGGACCTTTCTGCACCCCTGGTGATATCTGAGAGGAGACAGGCGGAAGCTGACCTGTGCACTGTAGGGAGAAGCCCCACACCAGCCTCGGGGATGAGGAATCAAAGACCCTGAAGGCCTTCTAAGTAGAGTAAACTCCTAGCATCCTCAGTGCCTCCTCTGAACCCACAATGTGATGAGATGACTTCCAAGTCGTGGGCCAGGTCCTGGGGACCAACCTGATGCTTGGAGCCTATAAAGTCTAAAAGCAAATCAAGTCAGTGCTGTCCCTGGGCACTCACTCCTCATTGGGTAGAGTTAGCTCACATAACTAACAGTGTTAGGAAAGGCAGCAGGTATTACAGATTTATTATAATCTTTCTAAAGGCAGGAGGAGTTATGGAGGGAGGCTCTTCTGGGTATTTAATTCAGAAATACCTTTTCATTTCAGCTGTAGTTTATCAAATAATACAACTAACCAGCTACTCATTAGAGTTATGATGTTTTATGGCCAGACTCATCACTGTATATGAAATAACAATGATGTTAGTAGTATTGCCTTCTAACTTTTTTTTTTATAAGAGATTTTTGACCAAATCTTCCAGCCTCTCTGGGCATTGGCCTTAACCTTGCAGAGTGGCATCCTCTTTGTGGTGAGGCTGTACGCCCCAAGGATTGCTTGGGTGTATTGATCGCTTTGCACCCAGACCCTGCAGCTCAGAATCTTGGGTGGAGAAGGTCTAGGTAATTGGTCCCCAATGGATCCTGGTTCCTGAGAACACACATTTGATAGCACAGAAAGGAGGTTATTTGTGTTAAGATCCTATTTTATTTTGTATTTGTCTCTCCTTTGACTTTCACACCACCATTTTTTGTGGGTTTGTTAGCAGAAGGCAGGGGCAGAAAACTAGAATGAAAGTCAGCATTACAGAGGTGAATTTATCCCTGCTCAGGACTGCCTATCTCTGTGTGTGGCCAAGAGAAGTATTGGATTCAGTTATAACACCTCAGCAAGATGAGCTGCATAAAGATAACCCAGAGCACAGTTTCTTTATCTCCTGACAAAGGAAGCCAAGTGCCAGGCGAATTTGGAATCACAGACAGGAGTACAAATCACTTCTGGCTGCCTGGCAGCAGGCAGATCAACAAAAAGGGGGGCGATGTGGCCAGCTTGCTTAGCCACACAATCCCAAGCAAGTTCAGCTTCCCAGTAAATGGCACCTTCTCAGGGTTCCTTCGTCAAGCAGCTGGTGCCACAGAGGAGCTTGGTCTTCACAACACAAAGCCAACACCAGAAGTCTCTGCCAGCACTTCTCAGATGAAACAATGGAACTATTCACCGCAACTGTGTTACTTGATGGTCACTCTACAGTCAGACAATATCAAGTGTCTTAGGATGGTCACAAGAAGGAACAGACAGATCTGGATGGTCTAAGAGCCCCAGGAGTCAGCAAACCTAATCACAGAATTGGGAAGGAGGCAGAGACAGGAAGGTCTCTCTGGTGAGAGCTTACCATCACTGTGACACTCTGTGTTTAGAAGCAACAAGATGCTGGTGTTGTTCCTTGGGAACTCACGGTTAAAACTAAGCTCAGTGATTCTCAAGGGGTCATTATGTTCCTTATGACATTAAGAAGAATATTAAGAAAGCATTAGAGAAAGGAGCGTAAGCGTGAATACCCAGTCGATTCTGATGTCTGCCAAACACGAGTGATGTTCTCACTGGCCATCCAGCCCCTCTGCGCCCAGGCCCGGCCCCGTGTCTGCCACTGTCCACCATTCAGAGCACACAATGCTGTGCCCTCGTGAACACAACTCTTCTCCCTTCACTCCTATCCTTCTCCAGCCTAGCTATGGATACCAAGTCTCGTAATCAGATGTGATTCAAACCTTATTTAATGTTCTTTAACGAAACAGATCCGACTCCCTCTGCTAACCAAAAATAAATAAAACATCGCCTCTATGTAAGGTTGGGGCTAATCTGTAGTTCTATGAATGCAATCTAGTTTTTGGCAAAACACAGTTTCAAGGATCCAGTAGTCTAAGGCATTTTATATGTAGTTAGAGATTTCACAATGTTAACTATGCATATATTTAAAATATAAAATACCCAGCTGTTGTCTGAATTTGTCTTTTTTTTCTCCTGGCCCCTTAGTTGTATCATTTTCTAAGCTGGGGTGTTAACTAATTTAGTAAAAGATGCCTAGGTTTTATAAGTGAACAAGCATTCATTTAATAAAGACACTCTGAATGATGATTACTTGATTTTCCCGAGACCTTTAACTGTGGTGATAAAATAACAGGCCTTGCTTTCAAGCCTTAATAAATGTAAAATGGCTTTTAATGAAGATAGGGCTGAGTGTTTTCCTCATGACGCTGGAGCAATTATGAATTTGTTTCCTGGTCTTGATTGGAATGGACTGATTTCAAATAAAACTGGTTTATTTTCAAATATTACAAACATGATCATCAGCCTTCTTATTTAAGGTGGGGCTTTCCTATGCTGTTTCAGATGATCAAGTCTGAAATATTTTTTCCAAATAAAGTTTATTATTTTCCCATTATACAATATGTTTAGCCTTCTTAAAATATGTGAGGAGGAGAAAGGAAAGAAAAGGAAAAGAGCTCAGGAACCAGCCATCCAGACCACCACTATTTTTGAAGCAAGGCCAAAACTTCTTCCACAGTACATGAGTTAGGTGACACAGCACGGACACCCCTTGTACCTCTCAGTCCCTGTCTGTGTTGTCATCCCCGAGGGCAAGCTGACATAGACACATCCTGAGATATCAGTACCCTTGTCCCCAGTTTTCGGCACTCAGAGCCTCAAGTTCCCAGTTTTGGCCACCCTGAGGTGGTCTGAGGGCCCTTAAATTTCACTGAAGCTGATATAACATGGGATGGGGCCATCTATGAACACGGACACTGCTGTCCCTCCTGGGTCCTCTACACAGTCCCAGCACCTCCTCAGAATGGGAAGGGATGACAGGTCCCTGTGGCAGGGCAGCCTGGAGCTCAGGATGATGGCTGCTGCCCATTCCACTGCCCTTCATCCTCTGCAGAGCTCTGCTGGGGTGAAGAGACACCTTCCTTCCCCCTCACTGGCCCAGCCAGCCCCCTACACTGCCACCCTCCTGTCACTCAGAGGGCAGTGACTCCCCTGGGAAGTCCCGAGTGGTCTCTGCTTGGTTTCAGAGCGTGTGCCTGGCCAAGTCCTGCTCAGTGCTGTGCAGGCAGATTGCCCAAGTGCTTCTGGGAAAGAACCCCTAGTTCCTACCAAAGAGCCCCCTTGAGTCCTGGCCTCTGTGCTGCCTCTGGGTGTGATGTGAGGCCTAGATGCGCTGCCACTCTCCGGGGACCACAAGGACAAACCTAGAGGTAAGGCAAACCCAGGCCCTACACTTCAGCAAGACATAGGGGGAAAAAAACAGTTCCTGGAAGAAACAGGAGCACCTGGATAGGCAAAGCCTCAGACTGGGCCTATGTCTACACTTCCTGTTCCATAATCCGTGTAAGATTGTAGGAGGGTGAGACTCCCACACATACATACACAAGTGACCAAAGGTGCCCCATGGGGTAAAGTAGCCAAGTCTGCTGTCACCCGCTAGTTGCAGTGACCCAACTTCGCTGTTTGAACGCAGGTTCTGCTCTGCGGCTGACCCAGGGATGAAAGCACGAGAGACTTCGTCTCTCTGGGTCATGGTTTCCTCAACCATGCCATGAAGAAACCAAGGGGCACAGGATGGCAGGGAGGGGTCTGGCATTGAGGACTGAGTCCCCTCTCGGAGCAGCCATCAAAAGGTGACCTTGGACCAGAAACTTTGGATACATTATGCTCTGAGGTGTTGTGAGGGGAGTCTCTTTTTATGTTCAGTTGCCAGGATCCCAGAGTTCCTAACACATTCTGACTTGCGGGAAGGGCCTGGAGGGTCAAGCAGGGGAAACTCAGGATTGAAAACGAGGAGCGGAATTCCAGTCCTGGATTCATCACTGACTGGCTCTGTGACTTCAGGCAAAGGTTCCTCAGAGGCCCTGATTTCCTGAAAGCAGTTACCAGGTTATCACTCTGATGAAAAGCAAATGGAATGGCTCCAACCAGTCCAACTGGAAGCCCTCGCTGTGGTCTTTAATTTTCTTTTAAAGTTTCAGGGCTGACCAGGAGCGATTCACATACTGCTCATTTCCTATCTTCTACCCATGTGCATGAAGTCTGCACTATGTCTGAATTTGAACCCAGGGTCCTGCAGCGGGGCTCATCAAGCTGTAAGCACTGATGCAGACAGCAAACCAGATTCCAATTTTGAAAAAAAATTAGCAATAATTATCTTCCCAGACTTTTTCAAGTAAGGAATAAATGTGAATTAGTCTTTAATACAATCAACTTTTCTTAGTCAGCAAGTTTGTTTAGCACTCTTTTTTTGAGAATTTTCAGCCAACACTCTATACACTGCTTTATAATGGAATAAAAGTTCTTTCCTATATGATGAAAATCTTCTTAGGACCCTTTCACATATAACATCATTCTTCAGTTTCACAATTTGTTTAACCAGTATCCATTCCTTGGCTTTCAGGGCTTTTCTAGGTTTCTTTTTGTACTCTTAAAATCAATGCTATAATGGAGTACCAATAAGTGAGATTCTTCATTTTCAGAATAGATTTCTGGAGGTGAAACTGCTAAGCCAAAAGGCATGTACTGTGCATCTTCAGGCTTCTGATGTATACTGTTTAAAGTCGTGAATTCCTCTTTAGCAGAAATAAGCAGGCTTTTTTCTCATAGCTTGACCAGCGTGGGGTTCTGTAGTTTTTCAATTCTTTCAATCTGCCAAGCGAGATAAACCTCATGGTGGTCTCATTTATCCAGTTGTTGAAGAACTTTCCCAAACGGACCTGTCTACCTTCTTTGCTGTCTTTAGTTTCTCTCTCTGTCCCCTAGAAACAAGGGTACCAGTTTCCTCCCTGAAATGTAGCTACTACATCTCCCACTGCCATGGAGTGGTTCAGCATGAACTGCTTCCTATGGCAGTCATTGTTTCCCTGTGGACTTCCTGGTATGTTTTGAAGCAGAGGACAAAACATGGAATTGTCTCTTCAACTAAAACATGAGGAAACTTTAAAATAAAGAAAAATCCCTTATTGTAGGCAACAATAGGGTTACCACCCTCGACCAAAACAAATGAGTACTGGGCCAGCATGCTTTCAAGGGCACCAGGGACATATTTGGGGAAGGGGTGGGGAGGGTGGTAGGGGGGCATCTCTGACTTACAGCTTTAGAAACACTGTATTCACAAGCATTGGACTTGTGATGAGCTACATTCTACCAGCAAGCTCCCCCAAGAAACTCTCATAGTTCACAGAGCTCTTGGTGTACCGAGTGAGATCAGACCAATCCTGTAGGGATGTTGGGTGTAGAAGAATCCAGAGAAAGACAGACAGTTGGCCAGCCCGGTGCTGGGATTCAAGGAAGTGTGATATAGGCAAGCGAAGCAGCAAACCCATAAAAATCCAAGTCTATATTTCTAGCACAAATGGTCTCCAAAGTACTATGGTGTCTAAAATAAAGCCCAAGAGACAGGCAAATCTCCAGCCTTAAATCCTAGATTAATTAATGCTGGAAGGAGAGATTTCATTCAGCTGGAACCAGAGGACTTTTGGGAAACAGTGGTCTCCGGTCTTTCCTTTGCCCGCCCCCACATTCTTACACATTGCACAGCTCTGTGAGTGTCCTGTCTTAACAGACCATCAGTAATTCTTAGATTCTCCAAAGGTACAAACAAACCAAGATGGCCCTGACTCTCTGGCCCTTGGTTTATCAAGATGCTGTGTAACTGGAAAACAAAACCTAGGAGGGAGGTGATGAGTGCGAAGGATCATGAGACTCTGACTGAACCACTACATAATAAAGACCGCAGCAGGGCCAAGTTCAACATGGAAAAGAGACACAGAGCCTAAGAGCTATCCTGTGGTTATTTAATTCTAGAAAAGGGAGCTATGTCAGAGTGCTGAGGAGGATAATGAAAGGAGCAGTTAAAATGTAAACTGCCCACTGGAGACTATTTTAAAATGCGTTTTTGGAGTACCTTACAGGGAAATCCAAAGTCAATAATAAAAGGCCCCATAAATGCATCAAGGCAGAAAGCCAACCAGATAATCAGGGCGACCACTTGACCCAGAGCCGCCCTGGGAGACGAAATGGAGAAAACATGGAGGGACAGGGGGTTTTCTTTTTGGCTCGGTAAAGATGAAGAAAGGCAACATGGAGATTTGCACTTCCTTTTTCGAAAGATGCTGTTCATAAACATGGACTCAAACACCAACAGGCCCGATGGATTGAGGACCATAATGACAGCCAGATGAATCCTGGGTGCGTAGCCACTGGATAAAATACTCAGCTGCAAGAAAGACGGAAATAGGCATCCCTAAAAGTAACAGTCAGGTGCCTTATACAGGCAAAACAAGCCCAAAGTGCACACACAGACTAGTGAATTCCAAACTGTCCTTAGCAGCCGAAGCTTTGATACCCTGGCGTATGGCCACTGTGGCCAAAAACAGCAGCTATGTGCTGTGCTTCCTGCAATAGCCTCAGCCACGACACAGCAAACCTAACCTCTCTGGGTCGCTCTGGTCTGCAGACTTGATTGCCTCACCACGAGGAGGAGGGTTAACGCCGGCAATAGCCAACACGGGGAGTCGATCCTCAGACCCTCATGTGATAAACAGCACATGATTATCCTCTCTCAAGTTCTTATCACATCTTATCACATCACAATCAATTGTGATTCTTATCACAATGCAGTCTGTCTTATTTGCAGATGAGATGTGGGGCCCATAGGTGTGTGGTGGGTTGTTCGTGTTTATAAGCCTGCGAAGAGCTCGCGTTTCAACTGGAAGACCGATGGCTAAAATAGAGGACAGTCTTCCTCAGCCAGAAAGGCAGAGAGTGTACTATGACTGTCTTGGTTACTTTTTTTCTAGCTGCTGGGACAAAATACCTGACGCCCAAAATTAAGGAAGGAAAGGTTTATTTCGCTTACAGTTCGTGGAGGTTTCAGTCCGTACTTGGCAGATTATAAGGCAGAGTGGCACATGGCAGAGAGCTACAGCTCATGGCAGCAGAACACAGCAAAAGCAACAAGCACTGAAAGGGAGGAATGGGGGAGGAATGGCCTCAAGCACTCTTTTCCTCTCCCTTACATATGCAAACCATCCACCCCAGGGCAGGTGTAGCTCTCACACCTCAATCAACTCTAAAAGCCTGCCCCATGGCCTCATGAGGCTTTGGGGGAACACACAGACAAACCATAACAATGATCAAAGCCAAACTGATGAGAAGTGCTGTGAGCTGACCAACATGTAGAATGGGAATCAGGCAGCACACTGTGTGCAGAACCCCGAAACAGCGAAAATTAAAAAATACTGCATTCATTGCTGTACCTTGCAGTCTGTTCTGTGTAAGTATATGAAGAGTA